TAAATGCCTTCCAGGGACTGGAAGTTGTCTAGAAATCTATGACATTCATTTGTGTGTAGAGACATCACTCAGTTCTGTTTTCATCTTCATGTGGCATTCTCTTATGTCTGTGTTGGTTAGGGTTTTGACTGTTGTGATGAGACACTATGACCATGACAACTAAAGGAAAACTTAGAATTTTAGAAGTTTAGCCCATTATCTTCATGGCAGAACATGGCAGTGTTCAAGCAGACATGGTGCTGGTGAAGAAGCTGAGGCAACAGGAACCAACTGTGTGCCACACTGGGTGTAGTTTGAGCATATGAGACCTCAAACCACACCCCCATAATGTCACACTTCCTCTAACAAGGCCATACCTACTCTAACAAGCCACACCTCCTATAGGGGCCACTCCCTATAGGGGCCATTTTCTTTCAAACCACCACTGTGCCTTTCTCCAAGTTGTTTTCTTTTTATAAGAACCCAATCATACTACAGTAGAGGCCTAATCTATTCCAGTATGGCCTTATATTAGCTAATTACATCTGTATCATACTGTTTCCAAATACAGTCACTTCTGAGATACCAGGGTCAGGATTCTAATACTTGAATTTGGACAGATACAGAGCACCCATAACAAGTCATATGTGGTTGTTGTTGTTTCCCTGGATTTTTAAAATTTAAGATGCAAACTTCATTCTTCTCATTTTTTCTCCAATGGATTTGAAGCAAGAGACAGTGTCATCTATTTTTCCTTAGAGTCCTGGGATTTCTCCTGTCATGAAGTATTGCCATATTTTTATAAATGATTACAACTTACCCTTTCTGTGTATGATAATACTGGGGGTTGAAGTTAGGCCTCCTACATGCTAAGCAAGCACTTTACAGCTGAATTATAGCCCTACCCCAGCTTTCTGATGAACATTTATATAGATTGCAGATCTTTTATCTCAAGTGCCATGGACCAGATGTTTTTGAGATCTTAAAGTGCTTTTTGTTTATTTGGTTTTTGTTTTGTTTTAGACTGTAGGATATTTACACTTTAATATGCTAAGCATCAGTCATCTAAAAGTACAGAATCCAAAATTAGAAAGTTCATGATACATCATGTCAGCATTCAAATGTTTCAGATTTTAGAGCACTTCAGGTTAACTTAAGAATGCTCAGTCTGTATTGTCAGGAAAAGTAAGTCAGTAATCTGTCCATTTAATTTTTAGTAGAATACAACTTGCAGCAGATACTTAGTTTAAATTGTCTCCCCAATACCCCACTCTTGTGTTTTATTTTTATAAACTTCAAGAACATTTTGTCTATTCCCATATTTGGCCAGGTAGCCTGTAAGATAAATTTCAGGTTTAAAAATTGTCTTTCCAGTTTATGACCCATTTTGTTCATATATGAAGATATAATTATTATTTCTGATTCTTTACCCAAGTATTTCTTGCTGCAAATTTCTTTGTGAACTTGGTTTGTGTACTTATTACAGCTTTTGCTGTCAACTGGTTGCCTATCATGTGACTCTTAAGCAGGCCTCATTCTTTTTTGCCAAAGCCTCCCATAGCTTCCAGAGACCCAGTGGTTAACTACAGTATGCTGAGGTTCACTGGTACTCTCTCTGGTCCTAGAGCTGCTTTATGTCTCTCTCATGTACATTTCTTCACAATGATGAACTGCAGGGCAGTGAGTTTGGAAGATTACAGGACCATGACAGGCAGATGCACATTCGAGTCAGACAGGGCAAGGCTAGATGTAGGTGTTGCACAGTCTGCAGTTCTTCCTCAGGCCTCTTGGAAGTTTAGGTGATCTCATTCTTTCTGAGGCCTGGGCACTGCTTCTTTATCAATCCCTTAGTTACCCTGTGGGAGAAGAACCTCCTGTTTTTCTATTTTTCTTTTTAGCCTCATTTTCGCTCTTATGTTTTCATATTCCTTTCTTTGACATACAGTGTTAATCTGGGATTGACTTCTTATATCCATTGTACACTTTTCCTGCTCTAACAAGCAGAACTTGAGATTGGTCATCATCTTTTTTCAGATCACTTTGCATTTAATGTGTAAGTTGATGATTTGTTTTGTTTTTGTTTGTCTGTTTGTTTGTTTGTTTGTTTTTCAAGACAGGGTTTCTTTGTAGCTTTGGTGCCTCCTGAGTGCTGGGATTAAAGGCATACACCACCACCCAGCAAGTTGATGAATTATAAGAAAGAGGATATATCCTTTTTTTTTTAACAAAAGCTACTTTAAGAAAATGTAAAAATGTGAATGACATTGTTTTTTGACTTAAAAGTTTATCCTTGAAGTAACTACTTCCAGGATAGAGATTTCAGCTATTTAAAAGTAACTTTGCCAGTTTTATATAGCAAGCAGCAATCTAATTAGTGTTGAACCATTTCAGTGCAACATTGAGTGACTCTATCTCATGCACTGAACTAGATGTAAGATCACATTGAAAGTAAGCTGTGCCCTCCCTGAACCCAATTTACACATTGCTTTTCCTCCTCTCTGAAGTTTGGTCTGAACAATGTAACCATGTTTCCCATGAGAATGAGGCACATCATTCCTTCACTGGCACAGTCCTCTTAGCCACTTCTGGACAGGTCCAGGGTCACTTGATTGCACAGGCCACTGTATATGGAAGGTTTATTCCATTTGAGAGGTTGAGGCAAGAGAACTAATCCAAATTTCAAGTCAGCTTGGGCACAGCATAAGGCTCTGTCTCAAAAGAGCTTCTGCAGCCCTCACTCAGGTGTCATTTGGCTACTAAGGCCATGAGTGCCTATCATTTCTTGCTTCCAAGGGAGTGAGATAGGAATGAACATCACTTCCAGGGATTTTTCTTATTACAAGATTTATCATATTGTGGGATCATGTTTTATGCAATTTTGCATTGTAAAGCTAACAATGTTATTAGTGACTCTGAAAACAATTACTCCCTTAATTGATTTGAATAGTTCTGTTTCTCAGGAAATTATATAACTACTCACCATTTTTGGTATATTACCAGGTAAAGTTTGCCATAGTCACAAAACACTTTCTGTATAAAGGGAAAAATATTACTCAAATTACAAAAGTATAATCTCAAATATTACCTATTATTGGTGCAAATAGGAATTTGAGAGAAGCCATTTACTTCAACCATCACAGACTTGTATTGGTGGTATTAGGCATTGTCATGGGATCATGAATTTTTGCTGCTTGTAACTTTACTTAATTTACGAAATATAATTTCTGAATGCACAGGAGAAAGAAAGATGCTGTGGCAATGCTTAATGCTCACTACAGAACATGCCCTCAGTTATCCCAAATGGTTGCTAGAGCTTCACTCTTTCCTGGTGTGATGACCTTGCTCAGAGAACAAATGAGTGGGACAACACATGGTTTTTGCCACCCTCCTCAGTGTGAGGGCCACTGTACTCACATTGACACACATACCCCAAATTCTCTATTTTTTTATTATATAGAGTTTTTTCTGACTGACAGTCTTCAAAAGCTTGTTCCATTTGGTATAATTTTTAGTGGCACCCTCTGTTGTGTTGTCCACTTCATTGCGCTTATAGTGTTTATAAACAGGTGCTGAGAATTATTCCAGTAGACACGCAGTTCATCTTTTTTGTTATTGGGAAGTTTTCTGTTTGTTAATTAATTCTGGTATTTACATTTTCCTCCTATGTTAACTTAACCTTAAAACTAAACTTTCTTCTCTTACTCGATTGCTCTGATGTTTGCTGCTGTATACATTTCATTTCTTCTGTCTTTAACCTTACCTACCAGTGCATGGGTACAGAGACAAATGTGTCACTCAGTCAAATCCCAAATCTTCAGCTAAGGAAACAGTTCATAATCAAGGTACTGTATTATGTGTCCCAGTGTGTCACTTTTTAAAATCACCTTCATATGAAAGTAAAAGCTACAAGTAACTTTTCATGTTTGTCAAGTTATACCCTTTAGTCTCATTTGTATTTTGAAATTCCTGTGATCCCATTTAAAAACCATTTGCCATGATGCCTAAGGAAAACTTAGTGATTACATAGAAGGACACCTTTATTTTAAGCAGAAATCACCTTCCCTTTTCTTTGGAACTGGTCTATGAAGCTCCACAGATGCTGATAGAAAGAGAAGGTAACAGCATTATCGAGGCAATTTACAGTCGTTTAGAAACAAGGCTTGATTTATCACTGGGGAAAGATTCTAAAATAGCCTTTCCAGGTTTGCACAAGAAAATCCAACTTTGGAGAGGTCTTCCACCCCTCACCCCATGTCTGCAGGTGTATATGAGAAGCTCTGCAGGGCGAGATTTGAGAATTAGTATATGCCTCTGTGGATGCTTGATTTTTTTTCTGACTTATATAAACTGGAACAGCTTATACAATAAGGCTCATTTGTCTGCTTAAAATGTAAGGACGTTCTCCTGAAAGATGTCTGCTTCTGACTGTATATTTTAAATACTACTAATTAAATGAAATGCATATTAATAAATTTATAATTTCTTACTTTTTATGGATATTCTATAATAGAATTCTTAGTTGTTTAAAATTAGGTCATTTATTACCTAACCAAATATGCATTTTACACCCAGCCTCTGGGTTTAGACAATTTAGGAAGTTTCTAGTTTATCTCATGATGTAGTTTCTTGTTGCACTAAGTAAAGAAGCAGAAGAGCTCTCTTCCTGTGAAGCCTAAGAGCTGCATAGAGACCCCAAGCTCAGATCCCTTCCTTGTCTACTGCTGCATTCTGCTCCCTACATTCCACACTCTGCTTATGCTCTCATATTCACTTTAAATCCCAAATTTATGTCAATATGAAATGATATGAATGATTTCTTAAATTCTTCTAAATCTAAGACAAAGTGATTTTACACTACTACATCAAATAATGTTTATATTGCAAATAATAAGTAGCAAATGGTCATGGTGATCATGGCTTACACTGATTACTTGATATTAACACAAAAGCTTCCCCAGAGCATGCATCTTCTTCAGTGGTATTCCCACTTATCTCATTCAATTTTCTTGGCTTTTGTGAAGGCGTATGGGCAAGTCTTCGTTCCAGCACCCGTTTGATCAGCAGTCCAACATCCTTCATTGATGTTGGTGCCAGGCTGGCAGGCAAGGATCACTCAACCTCCTTCAGTAACAGCACCTACCTACAAAACCAGCTCTTGAAACGACAAGCCGCCCTTTATATATTTGGTGAAAAGTCACAGCTAAGGGTAAGCTTTTTTTCTCTCACTTAGAAAACATGGCAACCCAACAGCAGCTTATGGACCCTATCACTAGCTTTACCATAAAAATTTTATAGCATGATTCTCATTCTAGATGTAATAATCTCAAAAAAAAAAAAAAAAAAAAAGCTTAGTTCTGAACCAAGCATGGTGATGCTGCCATGTCTGTTATCTCAGTACTCAGGAGGTAGACAAAGGAGGATCAGGAGTTCAAGGCCAGCCTCCGCTATATGAAAACCTTGTCTCAAGAAAACATAGGCAAGGCTAGAAGCATAACTCAGCCAGTATCAGCCAGTAAAGCTCTGCTATACAAGCATGAGGACTTGAGTTCCATTCCCAGTACCCACATTAAACACTGGGGTGATTGTACATTCCTAGAATCTTAGCACTGGGAGGTAAAACAGGAAACCCCTGGAGCTTAACAGCTGGCCAGCAAGGCTCCAGTCCCAATGAAAGAACCTGTTTCAAAAAAAAAAAGCAAGGTAGATGGGGTGGAGAGATAGCTCAGCAGTTAAAGTGCTTGACATGCAAAGTGAGGACCCAGAAACCCACTTAATGCTGGATGGGCATGCCAGCCTGCCTGTAATTACAGCGTATCAAGGCAGAAGCAGGATTCCCAAAGCAAACTGACAAGCAAGACTAGCCATATTGGGAGCTCTGGTTTGATTGAGAGACACTGCCTCAGTGAATAAGGTAGGAGAGCAATTGTGCATGAATTCTGACATCACACTTGTGTACACATGTGCTCACACACACATGAAAAATGGAAAAAGAGAAAGGAACAAAAAAGGTAGCTTCTGAGGAAGTACACCCAAGCCACCTTTGACCTCCATAAAAACCTACATGTGCATGCTTGTCCTGCACATACATGTATACCCATATACAAGAACATGTGCACCAAAATAATTTTTATTTTTTAAATTAGATGTTTAGATTTATACATACATATACATGTGTGTCTTTGTATATGTATATTTATGTGTGAATGAATGCCTGTTATTAGCCATGAGGATGAATTTTCATAGTCTTTTTTAAAAACATAAAGGCTATCAGGAAGTATAAATACAAAGGAGAAATAAGGCTTATTTAGACTGTATTTCCCATTTCTCCATTTAGTTCTCATAGGCATCTGTGCTTTATAAAACAAACAGCCTTTAGCCGGGCGTTGGTGGCTCACGCCTTTAATCCCAGCACTCGGGAGGAAGAGGCAGGCGGGTCTCTGTGAGTTTGAGACCAGCCTGGTCTACAAGACAAAGTCCTAAATAAACATGAAAACCCAATAGCAAAAAAAAAAAAAAAAAAAAAAAAAAAAAAAAAAAAAAAAAAACAGCCTTTATCTCTGAACCATTGATAAAGACAGAGGATGCTGTACTGTGCCACTTCATTTGGAGGCAAGGGAAGACCTGTATATATAGAGATATGGGTTCTGTGATCAGATAATTCAAAATATCAGCTGCTAATCAACTTTAGCCTATTGCTGTGCTAAAGAGCTTTACTATGTAATATCTTATAAATTGTAAAAATAGTATTTGCCTCCAGAAATCAATAGTAATTTCTTAAATTCAGTGTTTTCCAAGTTACACATTAAAAAATAAATGCTGAGCCAGCCCAGTGGGTTAAGGAACTTCTTGCCACAAAGTCTGATTACCTGAATCCAATCCCCAAAACCCACCTACCAGGGGAGCACAAACAACTCCAACCTCCAAACAGGTGTTGTGTCATGTACCTTCCATACACAAAAAACAAATGGATGGATGGATGGACGGACGGACGAACGTTTGTGGGGATTTTTGGTTTGGTTTGGTTTGGTTTGGTTGTTTGGTTTTCCAAAACCAGGGTCTCTCTGTGTAGCAGCTCTGGCTGTCCTAGAACTTGCTTTGTAGACCACACTGGTCTAGAACTCAGAGATCTGCCTGTCTCAGCCTCCCAAGTTCTAGGATTAAAGGCATGTGCCACCACTACCTGGCAAACAGATGTGATTTTTTTCAGCTAAAATAATGTTATTTCTGTCAACAAATACAGAAGAAGTGGAAGCATCTGTTAATTCAGAAATATCCTCAAAGTCCAGCACTGAGCAATTTAGACAGACCTTTGGCTGAACCATAGAGCAGAGGCTGTGTGCAGGTTACTCTCAGCAGGAGCCCACATGCTTAGTTCTTGCAGCGCCAATGACTGAGTCATCTTTGCTGTAACAGGCTGACATAGCTAACTCTTTCACCACTACCTAGACAGCTGCAACAAGTTATTCACAGCCTGAAGGGTAAAGGCCATGAAACCTTTAGGTAATGCTCAGTTTTAAAATTTGCATACATGTCTTCTGATACAGCAGTTAATTGTGTATCTAAAAAATAGAACTCTTTACAACAGCAATCAAAGATTGCCTACACAGCATTCGTGGCACCAATGACTTCTCCAGAACAGTCCTTCTCCCTTTTGGCACACTTAATATGATCTGAATTTCCTCCCAAGGTTTGACTACCTGAATGCTCACCTCTGCTATTCCCTTTCTATATGAGGTCTCAGAGTAGCCATTTGATCATGTGTAATTAGTAAGAAAGATAGACCAATTAGGATCTTTCCTTTCCTCCTTCCCTTCCTCTTTTTTCTTGCTTCTGTCTGTCATTTATTACTAAGTTTTATATGTGCTATATCCTAGTTATCACTTATGATTTTCAATTACAACTACATACTTCATATCCCAACCAAGGAAGCATAAAGGGAATTGAACCCAGGTCTTCATGCTTGCAAGACAAGCACTTTACCAACTGAATCATTCCCACAGTCCTCTTTTTAAAAATGTATTGTTTTGTTGTCTGAGACAGGGTCTCTAATATATATCCCTGGGTGTCCTGGAACTCACTGTGTAGAATTCACAGAGATCCACCTGCCTCTGCATTCCCAATGCTGGGATTAAAGATATGCACCACCACACACACCTGGCTCCTCTTTTAAAACTCTAATTGGACTTCAACAACTAAAATAATCAAAATTAAACATCAAATGGAGTGTGTGTGTGTGTGTGTGTGTCTGTCTGTCTGTCTGTCTGTCTGTCTGTCTGTCTGTCTGTCTGTCTGTCTCCTTTGCAGCAGTTTTTAAACAGTTTTAACAATTTATTTCTATTTTATACACACTAGTGTTTTGACTGAATTTTTTGTTTGTGTGGAAAAACAGATGATCTTTGATATCTATCAAAGAAAGTGAGAAGAAGCTAGGAGAATGATTCATTCTTTGGCATGAGAAATTAGAGGTCTTTTTAAGTCTTTAGAACTAGACAACCAGATTATCAAACTGAAATTGCATCCCTACGCCTATGCCATTTTTTAATTATAAATATGAAGCTAAGGATGAAGCTCAGTCAGTAGAGTGCTTGTGTTGTATGCACAAAGCCCTGGGTTTGATCCCCATCTCCACATGAACCAGGAATGGTAGTACACACCTGTAATCCCAACACTTGGGAGCTAGAGGTGGGAGGACTAGAAGTTCAAGGTCATCCTCAGCTAGTAAGTTTTGAGGTCAACTTGTAATGCATGAGATCCTATCTTTAAATGCGTGAGAGAGAGAGAGACAGACACAGAGAGAGAGGAGGGAAAGAGAGACAGAGAGGGGGAGAGAGAGCGAGAGTCCTCTTGCATACAGTGCATAAGCAAAGCTCATACCTCACAGAGTAAATTACATGTGAAATAAAGACATAAATGAAAGGGTACTCAAGTAAACATAAGTAATGCATGTCTCATGAAAACCATGACAAAGTTAGAAATCAAGAAGACTAACATTTAATTGTAGGGAAAATCTTAATGACTTAAAATGCAACCATATTGCAACGAGATCATAATGTTTATCTTTGATACTTTTATAATGAATTTATTTCATTTATATAATATCTTGTGTAAATACGTTTGTATCTATAGAATTTTATTAATTCAGTTCTGGAAGCCCAACAGTATATTTTAACCTTCAGTTAACAATGTACATCTTGGGAAATGAAGTTTGTGCTGTTGGATTAACTATGCTGTTCATTTGTCACTGGTTCTTTGTTTCTCCCTCAGACAGGGTTTCTCTGTGAAGCCTTGGCTAACATGGAACTCTGTAGATCAGGCTGGCCTTGAGCTCAAGAGATCTGCCCACTTCTGCCTCCCAAGTGCTGAGATTAAATGTGTGCACCACCATGCCCAGCCATTCTTTCAAGTTATCAACTGTAGGTTCATGGCCTTAGAATTGCCCTTTATTTGGTGTTAGATACTCCATCAACTTCAGCCTACCAGTCTCTTAAGTTCTCAGAATGACAGCATTCCTGAGCTAAGTAATCTACCCCTAAAAGGACTAGACTAGCCTTTCTGGACAACTACGAAAGCTGGCTGCACTATTGACATGAGAACCACACAAGACTGACCCTCTTGATCACTGCAGCTTTTGCAGCTATTTGGAATCAACTTGGTGTTTGTTATTAAGGATTGCCCTGGGGAAAACTTTTGTTCTTTTATCTGCCTAATTCTCCGTATCTTCATATTCAGAGCTTCAAGGTAGAATTTGCTTTAAACTGTGAGTTTGTTCCTGTTGAATTCCATGAAATCCGACAAGTGAAAGCCAGTTTTAAGAAGCTGATGAGGGCTTGTATCCCAAGCACCATCCCTACAGACTCCGAAGTGACATTCCTGAAGGCCCTGGGAGATTCTGAGTGGTTCCCACAGGTAACGTCAGGGAAAAGTTATCTACTCAGAGAACACCCCAAGTGGATACACAACCAGCATCTGAAAAGCGTGTATTTTCTCCTCTCTACTCCCCATTTTCCAAGAAACTGTAGGGCCTAAGTATGAGGAGGGCAGATTCTTGATCACCTAGGTTATTGTCTCTGTGTAAGTGAAAGTGTGGCATATTGTGCAGAAATGTTTTTAGTGTGCAAGAAAGTGCAAGTTTGCATAGATCTCCTGGGCTATTGTCAAGTCAGCAAGGATCCAGGACAAAAGGTACTTTTTGCATGACTCCACATGCCTTTCCCTCTGACTTTCTTACCTCCCATTTACTTCTGCCATTTTTATGTCTCTAGATTTTAGATTCACCCACACATCAGCCATCAGATACTAGATAGTCCAAACCTACCTAAGGTCTGGGAAAACTAGATATCCATCATTATTCAGCCAAATCACCCTGAAGACATTTCTAATTGAACTTTTATTGAGAAATTAAAGGAAACATGGTTTGCCAGCACACATATGCCTACATTTCTTCCAAACCACAGAAAGAAAGGTATTTATGACTTGCACATTATAGGCAGTAATTCCAGTTTGGCATAAAGCAGCATCTCTGCAGTGTAAACCTTCTGCTGTGTCTATGCTCATGTTCCTTCCTAACTACAGGAAGTTCTAGTTCCTCTGAATTCTAGTTTCACAGTTTTTCTCCGAGCACCCTATCTGCCTGTTCCTCCCAGTGCTGGAGAGCAAGCCCAGACCTCCATGTATGCTAATGGATACGTGCTAGCTTGAGTTATAGCTCCAGCTCCCCCAACTCTGTGTCTAACCCTTCTCTGTCCATGAGAAAGTTATTTCTCATAGTCACTGGAGTAAATGGTAAAGACACCAAGAAATGTTGTTAGTACCCAGGGCAGTGAGTATTATCAAAGCATGTAGAGAAACAGAGCCACATATGCAGTGATTGTAAACATGTATCAGGATGTGTTCACTGCCCTAAGGCAGTTTAGAATACTCATGTAGAAGCCCTGGAAGAAGTTCACTGGTACTTTGCTCTATCCCCAAGCTATGAGCCCCAGTCCCAATATGTTCTCACCACCCAACTCCCATCTACATTTCTAATAGATTCTATGTACTGTTCCTTGCTAGAAAGTGGACCTGGACAAGAAATTAAATGCTGAAAATAATCAATACTGTTGTTCTACTGTGTTAGCAGCATTTGCCCCCAAGAGCATTCAGGCTGATAGCTGTATGATAGCAAAGAAATGAGAAGCCTTCCCTGTATCTTGTTCCTGGGCTTAGTAACATAGCCCAAGTCTGTTTGAAATGTGGGTTTTTCTTCAAAGATGGATTTATACTGCATATTATGTCATATCATGCTCAAAGTATTTTTAAAATTCAAATTTGGGACATATGGTTTTGAAATCTACACTGTTTATACGCCCTAATTATTCAGTATGGATTTTGAGTCAGTTGGCCTGGCTTTAGAAGTCAAGCTGAGGAGCTAGGCATAGTAAAACACAACTTTAAGCCCATCACTTGGGAGGCAGAGGCAGGCAGATCTTTGAGTTCAAAGCCAGCCTGGTCTACACAGAGAAAGTTTATCTTGGAAAGCCTCCCCCCCAAAAAAAAGTTGTTAAGCTGGGGAGGTGGCTCAGCCATTAAAGGCTAGGCTTGCAACCATAAAGTTGAGCACAAACAAGTTTCTTCCTAATACACAGTATAAACAAATAGGAGCATCCTTTTTTTTTTTTTTTTTTTTTTTTTTTTAAAGACAGGGTTTCTCTGTGTAGCCCTGGCTGTCCTGGAACTCACTTTGTAGACCAGGCTGGACTTGAACTCACAGATATCAGCCTGCCTCTGCCTCCCAAATGATGGGATGAAAGGCATGCGCCACCACTGCCTGGCAGAAACATCTTTTTTTAAAACATAATCCTCTTAATATAAAATTGATCCTTTGAAAGGTGTACAGTGTAGTGTTTTATAGCATATTCCCAGTGTTATACAACCATCACACTAATGTCAGAAAATACTGAGTCTTACTAGAAATTACTATTATGGAAAAACAAAACAAGTCATATAACAAAGACCAACTAGAATCTCTGTCTTTTCCACTTCATAACATTATAGGTCTTCCACTTCTGAGGAAATTGTATAAGGCCATTTGTATTATACCTCATTTGACACCTTGGGTTTTTTATTTATTAGCATTTATTAACTATACCTAATGTGACCTTCATTTTATAGATATAGATATAGATATAGATCATATACTATTGATCACACACTATTACTCTCATTGTCCTCCTCCTAATGGTTCCCGTTATCCCTTTATGGCCCCCTGCTGATTCCTACCTTCTTCTGATTTTCATGGTTTTGTTTTTGCCTTTGGTGATAGGATACATTTTGTTAGGGTTGCATGGTGAGGCCCTATTTACAGGGCCCTGGGGACCTTACCAGTGGCTACTCCACTAAAGAAAATGTCTCTTCCTCCCCTGGTGCTCATTAGTTGCATACACCTCTCTAGTGAGGGATGGGGCCTGTGGAGACCTTCCTTCCTCTGTGATAGAATGTTGGTAGGCCCAGTCTTGTGCAGGTCTTATGTAGGTGGTGATCACATCTACTGTGAGTTCACAAGTGCAACAGCCGTGTCCTATAGAGAGGAGAGGATTCCATCCCTTCCTCCAAGATTTTACACTCTTTCTGTCCCCACTTCCATGAGGATGTGATACAGATGTTCCATTTGGGGCTGAACAGACTTTTCCCAATTAAGTCTCTACACTGTCAACTGTAAACAGAAGCTTCCTGTCCAAAACTAATGACAGCACTAATCTGTGAGGATGAACATAATTATTTAGAAGGCAGTTTGACACATATATCATGTTTACTTAGAAAACAATAGGAGTAGCCTTTCCGCTAGGACCTATAACCTCCCTGGCCGTGGGCTTTCGCCCCAGTTTATATTAACCAGACATGAATTTTCTCCTATGGAGCAGACCTCAAATCCAGTCAGGTACAATTGGTTACCCTCATAACAGACTTGCCACTGTTGTACCAAGGGACATATCTTACCTTTCCAGTTGGTAGGGTTACACAAGGGAACCACAGCTGACTAAAGCTATAAAGGACAATTCTGCAGCCTACATAGTACCTTCAAGCAGTATGAGCACTAGACAGGTCCATTTTGACTTCTCAGTGTTGTATTACCAGAGAGGTTAGTATCTTCAGCAGCAGGATCTGACACATTATTTTTAAACATATCTACCTGGCCTAAAGAGATGGCCAAGCAGTTAAAAACATGTCCTGTTCTTGCAGAGGACCCAAGTTCCTAGCACCCCCTTTGTGTGACTTACAAATGCCCATGAATCCAGCTGTAGGAATTCTAACACCTTTGTCCCCCACAGGCACTTTCATGCATGTGGCACACACACACACACACACACACACACACACACACACACACACACACACACAAAATGTAGTTACAAATAATAAAATGCAAAAATAAGAAGTGGGAGAGATGGCTCAACACTTAAGCACATTCACTACTCTTACAGAACCCAGATTTGGTTCCCAGTTGTCCACATGGTGGCTCACAACTGCCTATAACTCTTGTTCCAGAGGCTCCAATACCTTCTTCTGACATTCATGGGCTCCTGCACACATGTGGTGTACATACATACTACTCAAGCACATACACACCACACTCACACATTTTTTAAATAAGTAGGTCTTTAAAATGTACTAATATTTAACTTGATTTGGCAGGAACTTTAAGTATTTAAACAGTCTGTGATTCTTTTGTCCAAGTGCTTCATCTCATCTTGTTTGATTCTCCAAGATTGACAGTAAGTCTTTCTTCTGCTTCTGATTAGCAAGTGATGCATTACAGGTCCCTACAGCATTTGTAAGCTATATAAATAATGGAGATTTTTAATACCATCAGAAGTTAACTGGCTAGTATATTAAAATATGTATGTATGAACCATTCAGGACACAAGAGAAGGTTATAAGAATATCATTACCAAGCTGTTTCTTGAAAGTAGGACTGTTTGAGGAAGGTAGAAGCCATTAGTAATACAAAGGAGCTTAATTTAGTCAGTGGTCATAGCTCATAATGCAGAGTAAAAAAAATAATTAAGAAGAAACAGTATGGGACTAGAGAGAGAGTTCAGTGGCTAAGAGCTGGCTGCTCTTTCAGAGGACCCAAATTCAAATCTCAGCACCCACATGGCAACTCACAACCACCAGAGCCCTCCATGGACACCAGGCACTCTAGTGGTACACAGACATAAATGCAGAAAAAATGCCCATATACATAAAATAAAATTAAATGATAAAAAAGATGTAATCAGTAGCCTCACAGCTCTTGCTTAGGGCTGACTGAAATATGAAAAATAGGACTCTGACCCTGGCCTCATAACTTCAATTATTTGCATCTGTCAGTTATTTGAAAAGTAGTTATGGGAATTGTCAGTCCTTCAGTGCCCATGAAATAGATTTATTGATACTAAGAAATAGGAAACATATTTCCATATTGGTCTTATATTTCCATTCCTCTGCAAAATGTAATTCAGAAACTGCTGTTTTACCTTGAGAATTGTGCTATTTATACGATTGTAAAGTGCTTTGAAAAAACAGCATCAAGTGTTATAGTAAACACTGTAAATCTAAAATTATTTTGAGGAGGCCAATGAATAGAGGCATTTGTGCATGGGCCTGATGACCTGAATTTAACCCCTGATCCTACAAGTTAGCAAGAACTGACTCCCAGGAAGTGTCCTCTCACTTCTATGCACACTCCACAGAACACACATGCCTGCACTGACACACATACACTTAAAAGTAAGTCAACGAATAATTCTTATTTTCATTCTATATTATGCAAATTCTAATAAGTATAAAAAGTAATATTCTGAAACTTTAAAAAAAAGGCAAATGAAGTTCTTGCTCTAGCTGTAACCCTCTTTTCTGTCTTAGCTTCACAGGGTACTGCAGCTGGCTCTGGTTGTATCAGAGGTGCTGGAGAATGGGTCTTCAGTTTTGGTGTGTTTAGAAGAAGGCTGGGACGTCACTACACAAGTAAGCTGCTACACATGCTTTCCCATATTTCAATGTAGTTTTTACCTTCGGGGTTATGTTATATAATGACTACTGTGTTCATGAACAGAGAAAGTCCCCTGCTAACCACCCCTGGCGAGCCATCAGGCAGCACTGCTTCTCCATAGCTTTGGGTCAAGCAGCAGACATCCCCATCCTTAGGTACACATACAAGCTTGCATCAGAGCACTTGACCAACAGGATGAGACATGGACTACCCTTCCTACCTTCCACCAGCCTTTCTCTAGCTCTCGATCTCTAAGCCTGTGTTTACTCCAGAAGGAAAAAGAAAATGTGTGTGAATGTCAGCAACATTAAGACATTAACCTGCTCCTGTCAAAGAGAAGAGCAGGTTTGAACTGAACGCTTAGTATCATAGTCAACAAAGTGGCCAATTAAGGGTTGGGATCTTAACTCTTTGAAAGAAAGCCTGCAGCCAAAGTGAACTTGGGTTTTTGTCTTTACTGGAAAGCTTTTAGAATTCATTTGATTGTCCATCCTGAAGCAACTAGTCAATAGATTTGCTGTTCAGGTAACTTTGCTTGTGAATTAGCTATCATCAAGAGGAAGTTCAACAGCACTTTTTTAGTTCTAAAATTAATGAAGTGTCCATCCTACTCTTGACCTAGGTAACATCTCTGGTGCAGTTACTCAGTGATCCCTTCTATAGGACAATTGAAGGCTTCCGGATGTTGGTCGAAAAAGAATGGCTCTCTTTTGGTCATAAATTCAGTCAGCGCAGCAGCCTGGCCCTTAACTCTCAGGGCAGTGGTTTTGCTCCCATCTTCTTGCAATTCTTAGACTGTGTGCACCAGGTAAGTGAAGAAAGTTTAGAGTAACTTGACCTGAAGAACACACTGAGCTGTGCTGCCACAACTCAGTCATGGGTCATGCTGGGAATGGAGAAGGAAATTTCAGTTTCTGAAATTAGAAATGTTGACCTGGCTCTTGAGCTAGCCTCCAGGTAAAGGAGTCAGTACTGTAAATTACCATCTCCAAAGATGAGAAGCAAAGTTGGGCATGTTCCCCAAAGTGTGAAATAAACAGCAAAAGTCACTATATATGGCATGCCCTGAAATGCCACATATGATCTTCCCAGTTTGGGTGGGCTCTACCACATGCATGAGCACAAGATCCTCATCCCTTGAGAAATAAACAGGGCCCCTGCCAGGCAAGCTGAAAGGATTGAGAGCTGTGCTTAGTTCAGTAAAGTAACCAAACTACAGCTGATAAAAGGCCATACTGTGTAACCCAGTCAAATATAGCCAGAGGAAGGCAGGGGGGAATAGTCCCCAGCTCTCTCTGTCTTCCTAGGCATGGACTTCAACTCCCCTTGCTCAGGACTGGGATGAAGAATAGGGTGGCACTAAGCTTTCATCCTGAAGGAAAAAGTGACCTAGGAAAAGCAGCACTGATACTGCAGCCTTGTTTCATCTACAGCATCACCCTGGGTAGATAAGTAGGTGCTCCCATGTCAAAAATGGCAGTGAGCCTCTGCAGTAACTACTGAGAGGGAAAGTGGAGACAGTTTCAGAATTGAAAGTAGGTCTTCCAAAAAGCCCAAATTGTCGTATGCCTGTATTTTGTTTTGTTTGTTTTTATTATGTTAATCAGTTGCTTTTAAAATAATAGCTCTATTGAATTTTTATTTATATATCATATGGCTAACCCATTTTAAATGTGAAGTTCCATTTTTAGGGCATTCACAGAGTTGGAAAACTATCACCACAGTTTTAAGACTGTTTTACCACCCAGCAGACACTCTGTAGCCACTAGTGGTGATTTTCCATACCCCTTCCCAGCGCACCTCTTTTAGGGAAGCAGCCCTACTTGCCCACCTGCCATGCAGGCTGTGGAGCACTGGTAACAGGGAGAACTTACACTTTGAAACTCCTTACAAGAAATAGCATATGTGTTCTCTGTTTGAATATTAGCCTTTTTTATTTGTATTCCTTTTGGCAAGTAGATAAGGGAGATGTTTGGGGACAGCTGTGCTTACCTGAGGCCAGGGGAGAAAAACGAGTCTCTTAGCTCTCATCTAGGTATGTATCCTAATTTCAATGGTGAATACTCATATGTATCATGACTAAAACTAATCAAACTGATGCTTACACTGGAGAATTTAAAGAAGACTTTATATAATGTTTACTTAAATAGGAAAAATTTATGCTAAGTGTAACATCTCAGCACACTAGGGGTCAGAGAAAGGAAACAGCAGCAGTCTTCCAGCAAAGACCTGTAAAGCTGTGACCAGACAGTCTGGGGAGCTTGGCTGTCATAGCATTAGGGCAGAAAAAGAGCCCACGACCCCAGAGATGGACTGTTCCTTTCTCATGCTATTTTCAGTCAAGTCTCTTCACTAAACAAATTGTGTCCAGAATTCTCAAGTTTGGGATTTGTCTAGTATGTTTTTTCCAGAAACTAACCATCTAGTCTCTTAGGACTCTAGAGTCTAGCCATGTTAGCCCCCATTTCACCTTATGTACTGTTTGGGGGCTTCTCTGTATCCTCAGCAGGTTTATTCGAGTCTGAAATCCATTTCCTTCTACAGGCTTCTCACTATAGCTTCCATCTGCCAGCCATTACCACTCTCACTCCAGTCTCCCCCTCTTCAGCATTCTGCTAAATTGGTTTTGGCCTGTTACTGTGTTGTCTTTCTCTCCCCATTCCTTTTTGGGGTTGTTTTGCTTTACCTACCTTTAAAAATGCTTTACTAGCCAGCCATAGTGATATACCATCTGTAATGCCAGCACTCAGAAGCAGAGGCAAGAGGATACCCACAAGTTACTCCAGGCCAGCCTGGTTTACATAGCAAGTTCCAGGCCAGCCATGGCTACATGGTAAAACTGTAACTCTAAGGGGGAAAAAAGTCTTTCTTTTCCTTTAATGGGGAAATATTTCAGAGGAGTGAGGTTTTTTTGTAGCTAAATTTAGCTTAAGTTAAATGTACTGCTAAATGTGTTAAATTTCTGTGTTCATCTTACCAAATTCTGTATAGCTAAACAGTGTCAGTACTAACATCACTCATAATTGATGACTATATAAAACAAACTGTCCTCAACAGATGGGAACATCATTGAATCCCATCATTGAATGCAGTTCTGTTTTATTGTTGGGGGTAAGACCTAAGAGTGCAGCCTATAGAAGATAGCCTGTAGTCTTTGAGTTCCTTAAGCAACATTAATCAGCTTAACATAAACTACAATGAGATATAAATTATATGCCTGCTAGCTTTAGGATAAATTACAATAAATGCTAAATTTTCAAAATATGCTTGTTAAAGCAGCCTGGTATAAAAGTTAAAGTTCTCATATCTGTTTTTCTAAATAGATAAAAATCAAATGTTGTGTATGGCCCCAAATGAAAAATAGCCAGCTTTTTTTGGGGGGAGGGAGGGGGCAAGTTTCAAGACAGGGTTTCTCTTTTAGCTTTGGAGTCTGTCCTGGAACTCTCTCTGTAGACCAGGCTGGGCTCGAACTCACAGAGATCAGACTGCCTCTGCCTCCCAAGTGTACCACCACCACCCTACTGAAAAATAGCCAACTTTTTATGAAAGTTCAGTTGTTTCCAAGTAAAGGCTTCATAATCAATAAAATGTAACATTCAGGGTCTAGCTCTAAGTATTTGGGCGGATCAGATGGGACAGATATTCTGGCCCTTGGGAGTCACAGAATACTGAGTGTTACACAGCTCGGATGGAAAGGTGTCCTGGAGCTCGAGAGTCAAGGAATACAGGTCACACACAGTAAAGCATAGCAGCATACAGCCCTGCTTCAGGAAAGGCTTCCCCAGTGTATCAGCTCTGCTCCTTCGGGAGAGGGTTTCCCCAAGGGAAGGTTTTCCCAGTGTATCAGCTCTGCTCCAGCAGGAAAGGGCTTCCCCAACCAAGCTGCTACAGTTCAGCTCTGCTCCCTCAGAGATTGGAGAGCAGAAAGTAACAACTCGGCCCTGCAAGGGGAAGATTTCTCCTTCCAAAGTGTTACAGCCCTGCTCAGCTCCTGCTCAGCTCTGCTCTGCCTAGGGTCGTTTCTGCTCTGCCACAAAAGGTCTTCATTCAAACCTCATTCAAGAGATTTTATTGGGAGGGAAGAATCCAGGAGAGTGGCTACCTCTACCATGGTAGAAGGAGGCCGAGGGACAGCCACAAGCTGAACAGACACAGGGTTTATATAGGGATTCTTAGAGGGTGGGGTTTTTTCCAAGGCGGGGATTGGTCAGATTTCAATCCCGGGAGTTTAGGATGACTAGATCTCCTACTCAGGGATTGGTTAGTTTTCTGCACAGGCTTAGGGTCAGATTTGGCTCTAGTTTCAGGCCCAAAGTGTGTTTCTTTGGTTTTTCAAGACAGGGTTTCTCTGTGGCTTTGGAGGCTGACCTGGAACTAGCTCTTATAGACCAAGCTGGTCTCAAAACTCACAGAGATCTGCCTACCTCTGCCTCCCAAATGCTGGGATTAAAGGCATGTGCCACCACCGCCCAGCCAAAGTGTGTTTCTTTCACTCACCCTTTTTAGCCTTTTGGCTCTAGTTTTAGGGCCAGGGTGTATTTCTTTCACTGACTTTGATTCCAGGGACAAAGTGTGCTTCTTTGGCACTGGTTTCAGGGTCAGGTTGCATTTCTTTGGTTCTGGTTGCAGGGCCAAAATTGTTTCTTTGGCTCTGCTCAGGGTGTGTTTCTTTGGCTGGCCCTTTTTCCCTATACTAATAACTGGAATACTTTATCAGTTCTAACTGTGTCATGTTACAATTTTTCAATTGAAATATTTTTTTAATTTGTCTGAACTTGCCTTTGATATAATACCTCTTACATACTCACCTGAATGTAGACAAGCCATGACAAAGGGATATGACCTTAAGGGCTTGGCCATGTTGGTGTCAACTTGGTTGAATCAAATTATTTTATCTCAAAGAGAGATAGTTTATCATTTTAAAACTTAGGAATCTAAGGAGTTAAAAAAATGGTGCTTCTGACTCTTGCTGAGTTAATTATAAGGTAGTGTTTCATCATCTCCTACACACTGGTTTGAGGCATTAGAAAATGCCTTCTTTGAATGCCTTTCAAGTGAATACTAGTGTTTTACATGCCCCTTACTTTTACCAAATAATTTTAATTAGTGCTGTCTTCAGACTTTTGGGGACACCAAACAGAGACAGACCCAATAACAATACAAAATTTCACAGCCGCAAGCAAAACCTTCCCTGGGTAGAATGTGATCCCTGTTTGTTTAACCATTTATAACACACTGAATACAAAAGGCGGTTCATGGACGTATGCCCAGATGTGTCTATTAGTACTAACAAAATTACAAAGAAAACAGATGAAGCACCATTCTTAAATTAGAAATTCCTCATCATATAAAAAGCCATTGTTTATGCCAGTATATCCAGGTGTCAGATGAAGAGTAAATGCTAGATCACTGTTTCATAATAGCAACATCTGCAGATTTTTTTTTTTACTTCTAAAGTAATTGGCCTAACTGAAGTGGTATCATGACAGGATACTTCCTTTCCTTGAAATAATTAAGCCAAATCTTTCAAAAGGAAGAGATATACAAAACATAAAAATGAAATTTTTACCTAATTTTTTTGTTTGTTTTGTTTTTTCTTTTTTTGTTTGTCAAAACAGGTTTCTCTGTGTGTAAGAGCCCTAGCTGTCCTGGAATTAGCTCTGTAGACCAGGTTGGCCTCCAGCTCACAGAGATCCACCTGCCTCTGCCTCCCAAGTGCTGGGATTAAAGGCGTGTGCCACCACTGCCCAGCCTATTATTTTTAAAACACAATATCAGGATCAGCAAAATGGCTCAAAGAGTAAAATT